CTGAACGCGACAGGGAAAAATAGGAGATTTACTGGCGCCCACTCGAGTCACTCGACGATCAATGGGACGGCAGATGATACCGGTGAGAGCAGACCTCATACTTCCTTGCTTTGAAGGCATATATATATATATATTTTTCACAAAACGCTGTTTCAACAATCAAACTGCCCTTTTTTCAAAAACATCGCTCAATGAAGTATCGCGAGAGTACAAAAGACCACTCTGTCTCACCTTTATCGACTTAAAGAAGGACGCTGACTCAGATGAGATAAAAGCAGTAATGGAAGCCTTTGATAGTCAAGGAGTCCCTACTCAGTATATAACGATTCTTCGTGAGCTGTTCAAAAATTTCAGAACCGCGATAACACTATTCTACAACGATATTAATACTGACGTCAAAAAAAGGGTTAGGCAAGGCGATACCATCTTGCCAAAATTATTCACCACCTTCATGAACTTCATGCGAACTTTTGGATAGAACAATATGGGAGTGAAAATCGACGGTCGTTAATTACACCATCTTAGCATTGCTAGTGACATCGTCCTTATAATACCAAACAACCAAGCGGAACGAATGTTTCCGACTTTGATAAAGCATGTGGAAAGATTGGTCTTCGACTAACTCTCACAAAAACGATGTTCATGAGGAACGTATGCCCTTTTCACGCTCAACGGAACGAATACCTCCGAATGCTCCTGTTATGTCCGTCTAGGTTGAGAACTGAACATGTTGGACGACTTAGGTCCAGAGTTGATCAGAAGGAAACGAGCGTGCTGGGGAGCTTTCATGAGCATTGAGGATGTAGTAAAGAGAACAAAGAACACCCAACTCTGTGCCCAACTTTTCGACGCAACGGTAGTTCCTGCCTTAACGCATGTGTCAGAAACCTGGTCGCTGCATAAGTAGGATGAAGGATTACTTAGCGTAATTGAACGCGCAGTCGAAAAACAATGCTAGGAGTATCTCCTGTCACGCTAGTAACGGAAGGGATCCGAAGCACCGACCTGCGTCAAGGATCAAACACCAAAGATGCCGTTCTAAACGTCAAACAGTCGAAGATAAGGTGGACTGGACACGTAATGCGTATGAATGACAACCGATGGACAAGAGTCGTTAGTGACTGGATTTCTTGGGATGTCAAACATAGTACATGAAGACCACCGAGCCGATGGTCAGAGTTCTTCACGAAAAAACTAGAAAAAAATGTGATGCTCAACGAGTATCAGAGCGAGCAGAACCCACTGGGCTACTCTGGCACGCGACAGAGAAAAATGAAAGATTTACTGGCACTCGCTCAGGTCACTCGACGATCAACAGGACTACAGGTGACACGGATGATACTCAAAATTATCGAACCAAAGACGACTTATACACTCGGAGCTACTCCACAGATTGAAACTACCCCTAAACGCGCCACCACCAGTGAACTACGTATTATGTGCATCGTTGCATGGCAGGTTTCATCCAAATAGAATACTCGAATACTGCGCCCACTACGTGGAACACTTGGTAAGAATTAACAGCAAAATGAACCAGATGGATCAGACAAACCAATGGAGTTAAAAACAACTACTTCCGAGCCCGATAAAACGATATATAAAACGTTTAGTGGTGAAAGCTACACTGAAAAAATGACTTGTAGAATCTTCATATTGCAAAACTCGACATTGGTAAACGTCTCGGTGACACACACATCCTATTTGAACAATCATAAACAAGCCGTGGTTTCTCACCTTATCTAGGTTTCCTATGAAGGAAGGCAACGGAATGTGTCGTTTTTCAGTCGGGATCATAACGTCTTCTACCAGCTGTTTCTCAGGGTTCGTCGATCCGCTCATCCGACGGATCGCCGAGGGAACGTTGACCACACAGATTCACTGAAGTATGGCATTTACGGAAACACAACTACGAAAAAATTTACGACGTTAGGCAAGTAATGGATTGGAATATGTTAACGGACAACACGTCATTGGAAGTCATAAAGCGGTTAAACATTAAGCTAAAAAAATCTCATCTCGCAGTGAACTTCACTGATTGAAACAAAACCCAGCCCCCATCAGTATTCTCCAAATTTAAATCTGACACTTTAATCTACCGAATACCCATGAGCTCATGAAAAATCTCCACACAGCTTAGTCTAGAGGCTCCGATGCCCGTCTTCAGATGGTACACATGGACTAAATGCGCAACAAAAGCGAAGATCCACCAAGTTGATACACACTTGTACTTATGTACAAATACTGATCTACAAGGGCGCATATAGCGCAGTGGCCGGAGACATCTGCAATTAACATGGGATCGACCTCTGATTCCCAGGCTCACCAAGTCTTCGGTCCCGCTGGGATCGGCACATTGGTACCAGAGTTGTCTGGAAGGGCAACAGCACCGGCTCGATAAATCGGTAGACCACCGGAAATCATTTCGAAGGCCAGATCTATTCAATCACCTCCGAACACGCTTAATAAAGCTGCATGCATGGCGCATCCCTCGGAGATTGATCAATGCCGAGAGCTTTACCCTTTAACTGATGTGTAAGGCAGCATACAGCACAGTGATTCAAGGCGTCTTACCATTTTTACTGTCTCTGGTTCGATCCCGCTTCCCTGACCAAAGAAGCTCCACTATCACTGTAGTGTCGGCAAAACCGTAACCGAGAAGAAACTCATTTGATGCAGCGTTAAGCACCCGCAAGTCATTGCATGGACCAAATTTGCATTCATTCGCTTTCAAGATGCTTAACGGAGCCCAATAGACGGGACACATCCGAGCGATGGGTGGTCAGTAAACGCTCTTCCCACTGTCGTTTTATTCACGCGTATGTGAATGTTTTGTTCTGAATAGTTCTGCTACGCCAAAAGAACTAGATAAATCAATAAAACTAGGAAAACACCGTCAGTATCCGATATTGATAAACGTTATAAAGCTAATAAAAGATCGTAAAGCTCTCGGCGATGATCAACCCTTCAGGGATACGTCATGAATTTCACATCACCAAACAGTCCCAGTTGATTGAAAGCATCCTCTACTAATAAATGAAAAAAGAAGCATTTATAAACGAATAACTTGAGACAACTTACCAACGTATCAAACCAGTGCTGTTATAGTCCCAGATAGGCCTGGTACAAATCTGCCAACTCTGGAGGGATTGAAGGCTGAGTTAGCGCGGCACGTATGTTAGAACAACGGACCTATTGTTCCTTGCCAGACACCTCTAACGAATGCGCTACAAAGGACCTATACTATAAAGGATAAAATGGCCAAAGCTCTCAACGTTGATCAATCCCTGACGAGTGCGTATTGCATTCGACTACATTAAACTTCGTCGGCCGTGATTGAATGCATATCTGGCCTCTACAATGACTCGCGGCCGCCTACCCATGTATCGAGCAAGTGCTGCTATCCTTCCAAACAAGTTTGGTCCCAATTTGCAGACCTCGAAGGGATGGAAGGCATGGTGAATCACGGGCGGGGGATCTATTCCATGCGTATTGCGTGTAGGCTTCGACTAATGCGCTACGCTCTCTTTTTAAGACCTAAGCTATAGCAAAACCAATCTACAAGAAAGTCTGACCAAGCTGTGTATAAGTATTGCTGAAGTTGAAAATACTGAGATAGTAGAGGTCGCCTCATCAAATTTGCAGTGTCCCTCTGCATCATACAACCGATCTTTCAATCACTGCAACAATCTACCTCCTTGGTAGAACTTATCACTAACCGAGGTACCACTGTTAATATTCAAACACTTTTACCATTCCAAGTAAGATCTATTTTTTCAAACACTCACAAGATCCACCCTTAATTTTTGCATAAAACAACGGGCAATCTCATACCTTACTGACGTTTCGTACGTTCCACTTCTTCCTGAATTGAATAACAAATTTCACTTTAAACTGAGATGTCTTTTGGAGCTTTGAACCGAAACTTATAAAGAACTTCCATCCATAGTTTGTAAAACACAGCCACCCCACAAAGATAAAGAAAGAGCTCGTTTGCTGGAACCATCACGACGAAAGAATATACAAAAGGCGATGCCTTTCAACCAGACAAAAATCTCTTCAATACATTATTTATTCGAGTAACATACCAACATCGAGTCATGAAATACGCTTCAATATCACTTGTGGAAATTTACACGACAGTAGTAAACAGAGTTTGTTCCGTAGTTTCAATATAGTTGGATGAGATGACAACTCAGTGAGATCGCTAACGATAATAGATTGTACATTTTAGGGCGCAGCATCAGCAGCAACAGTCATCGTTAGTTTTCGTTCTCTTCACGGCTTCGACATCTAAGTTTGTTTCAGTCTGGTCAGCTGTCCTTTTAGAAGACTTTCGGATCTATAAAAACTCTCAATTGGATATCGAAGGAAAATATGGCATCCATAAACAGTAAGGGACGAAATAAAAACGGATAAAGCTTTCGGCGTTGATCAATCCCTTAGGGATGCGCCAAGCATTCCACTCCATTAAGCAACGTTTGGAGGTGATTGAATGCACATCTGCCCTTTACAATGATTCGTGCTGGCCTACCGATGTATCGAGCCAGTGCTGAACCTCCCAGATAAGTCTGGTATCAATTTGCTGGCCACGGCGGTATGAAAGACTTGGTGAGCCTTGAGCGCGGGGATCGAACTTATGTGCGTCGCAGGACACCTCCGACCACTGCGCCACAGGCGTCCTTACCAAAGTTGATACACGTAGAAACTAGAAGCACAAGCGAACGCGAAAGGACTAACTATATTTGAGATATCGTTCACAGGAGTATCTTGGTTAACAGTAGTCTTTTCCGGAAAGGTGGGCATAAATGCAGACTTTAGCTCATTCTTCACCTAAAAAGATGTGGAAGTGTAGAAAATTGTACGGTAGAGTAAAGCTGGGTAGAATGTGGTATGGACCTCACTTTCTCTAATGTAACAGCGCTATCATCTGCATCTTGAATTTTAAGCTCAATATCGGGAATTATACCGTTCAAATCGGCTAGCTCCTTTTGAAGCAATGTTTTCTCGTCTTCTTTCTCAGCTTCATAAACTTCAGCAAGCGATTTTTTGGTTGTCTCTGTAGTAAACCCATATTCATACCAATAACGGTTTCGCTTTGATAACTGCCTCAAAAGCTGTTCACCGCAGGAAATTTAGAAATATGAACTAACCGATTCGTAGCTGCAAGCACTGTTTTGCCTTCTTATAATATTCTGACGCTAGTACGAACTCCTTTTCAAGTTTGTGGATACGGGCGAACGAAAAGTATGAGTTTGCGATTAATCTGTCGTCAGCAGGAAGGTGAAGAAGTTGAATTTGAAGAGCGCTTGTAAGATCATCTAACGCCTGATGTCAAGGTACTAGTAGGCGAAAATACGAAAACAAACACAGGTGAGCTTTACCTGCTCACTGTTCCCTTCTTCAATCGAGCATTCAGCTAGAGCAGATAGAACGTCTGCTTTACGCAGCTCCCATTCTTTTGTTGGTTCTTGTTTGTCACATATATTACGTGCAACCTGAAATCTGTCACAAGCAGACCTAAAATCTCTAGAAAGAAATAAAAGAAACCCAGTATTTAGCGCTTACTTACCTCAAGAACCTCCCATGCGGCTTGAAAATTGCTTGCATTATCCTCTGCGTCGTTCCTAACATCATCTTCTGCACCTGTGCAACAACTGATTCCATTTCAACACATCGAAAATGTGGAAATAAATAACGAACGGCACCATCTGCCTCATGTGATACGACTTCGAAATCAACTGTTTCGCGGATATCCGTAATCTCTACGCTTCCGTCAGCAGAAATAGCTTCAATAACGAGTTCTGATGCTTTCTCCTCAGCTGCAATTATCACTGACACCAGAACTTCATAAATGAGAAAAATTTGGGGTTTTATTGAAAGAAGTTCCGAAAAAATATCAAAGTCCTCACTAGTGCTTTCTTCATAAGATTCACATATCTTACTCGTCTTAGCATTGTTGTCTTCAATCTTTTTTGCACAAGCCTTCTCCAACTCCTCGGCATTCTCAACAAGCACTTCTTCCACTTGTTTCTTAATCTCTTCTTCCTTGCCTTCTTAAATTACGCGCTTTTTAGTGCAAGTGCATGCATAAAATTTTTAAAAAAACCACTGGACGCATACTCATAAGCAATACTTACCTGTAAGTGTATCCGTATCACCAACGGATCTATCATTGTCTGGCTCTTCCCCAGTATAACCCTCATCCTCATCAGATTCATCAGCCTCATCTTCTACTTCTGGCATACTAGTCAACGCATTTTTCAAAACATCTGATTCGATGCGACCCAATTCGAGTAGACATCGACCATAGTAATAATGAGGATCGAATGATTCGCTGGCAAACACACCATACACATCTGCTCTACAAAAACACCCAACTAATCCGAATAACAGCATCTGGTATGAAAATATACATCGGCTCTGAGAAAGATGAAAACTTCGAAACATTAAAAGAGCTAAAGATATAGCTGTCGGTGTTGCTCAATTCCTGAGGGATGTATCATGCACTCAACTCCACTAAGCATCGATGAAGGTGATTGGAAGCATATCTGGCATTTACAATGACTCGCGGTGGCCCACCGATATATCCACCCAGTGTTGCTGCCCTCCCAAAGAAGTGTGGCACCAATTTGCCGACTCCGGATAGATGGAAGGATTTAGGAGCCACGGAAGTGGGGATCTATCCCATGAGAATTGCAGGGCTCCTCAGACCAATGCGCTACACGCGCCTCAAAAATGTTCAAAACATTAACCGAATAAATACTTGGGAACAACCTCGTGTTAGCTTATAAATGAAAGAAGGTACACTGAAAATACAAACTCACGAATAATTCGCACAAGTACTCAGTTTATCAGCTGCAGACTCATAGTCGCCAGCATGATAGTCGCGTTTCCCTTGGGCCAAGAGATCTTTCACTGCCTCTTTTTTCCTGCAATAAAGATTGCTACCATAACCACTAATAACATTAGTGCACAATACGCACTACTTTTAACATTCTTTTAAGTAATTTTTATGCAAAGGCGGTTGAACATCGGAGACTGACAATAGCAGAGCCATTCCTTTACAACACTGTCAGAAACAAAAGCGTGTACGGACAAAAATTGCAGCAATTACTAAGTACACGATCCGATAGAAACTGGGCTAGACACATTACCACTAGTCTTTTTTCACCATAAATTTGCTAAGGCTAGATAACCCACTGTTCAACGCTCAGTTCGGCATTCTCTACTTCCTCATTAACAGCCGTATTAATATCAGTATCATCAATAATTGTGGTAGTGACCATTTCCTGAAGAGCGACCATTTGAAGTTTCGTAATCCTAATGCCTGAAAAATATTCTGAGTGTCACCATCCTGACATCATACCAACAACAATCAAATACGAGTTCACAAGAGAGAAATGCAACATCTTGTATATCCATTATAGAGAAAGATCCTGAAGACGAAAGAACCAACATGGAAAAAGCGAACCCATGAACTTAACTTGATGGTCGAAGAATCTACGAAACGGTATCCCTGACCACTATATAATCGTTCTTTGATAGGCTTCGGTGTGAAACGGTGTCAAGGATGTTCAACTTTCCTTCGCGCCAATTTTTCCCGCAATTAATGTAGTCGCTTCGGGACCACATACACTAAGACATTATAGGAACGGGAGGATTGCTTCCCTTCAGCTAGCTATTGTAGTAAATTAAGGTGATGGAACTAAAGAATATGACTATTTCTACAATTTGAAATATAATGCTAGCTATAAATACCGTAAGAGACCACTGCGAGCCCAAGGACATCGCCTTGTTCAGACACTATGAAATAGAAAAGTGTGGCTTGTTTGCTCCTATTTCTGTCGCTGTAGCATATTTCCGGAAGAGTGGTGTGACTTTTGTGAATGAAAGTGGCGTCTCAGATGAAACAGTTGCCTTACAGCTTAAAGGTATTGAAATTCTTGGGAGTGTGGTAGCGTTGGAACGGCGGTTTAAGAAACTGTGACACATTCGCGACGACGCCCAGTTTTCCTCGACTGCGGTGTGGGACTACGTCTAGTTCTCGTGCCATGCTCGGTAGGCATTGGAACCGATGCGCATTGTCCGAAATACTTCCCAGGCGAGGGATATTTTAGTGACCTCTTAATTATATCTGTAGATATTTCAAGGATTTCGAGGGCATTATCAACCTAAGCTTATATGAAAAAGAATATGTGTATCTGTAGAGCTTTGTCTGTACAATAGGCAAAGAATCGCCGCTGGATTCATGGAGACGAACAAACTCTCGTTAGTAGTAGTTTTCTTGACGTCCAGAAAGTAGCTTTTTTAGAACCACGTCGTGTCTATCTATCTTAGGGATGCTAACTAAAACATAGTCGAAGTAGCTTGTTTGGTAAAAGAAACGACTGTGAGGATAAGTGCGTCATATTCAGAGTTTTCCGGAATGCTCTCCGCATACGAAATGAAGTGAATGAGTTGAAATCTCGATGACAAGAAAAGGTGGTCCGAATGTTACAGGACAACTAGATGAGCACTCCGTGCATACAAAAGCTAATGAGCCTACTTTTCCACGAAATGCTTCCTATTTGTTTTGATTCTTTCGTGCATTCCCCAGCATTCATATCAGCGAGTAACTTCACAATTTTCCTCGAATCGTCCTTTCACATATACGTAAATCTCCAGGTCGAATGCCCCGTACAGTGTTTACTTACGCTGTGACTGCAGGTGTCGCCGGTGCAATCGGCGCAATCTCCTCAAAATTCGCTTTTGGCGAGCTTGCCTTCAATTCACAATACCAGGTGGGGTTTTGAATAGAAGAAAAAATCATGGATCACTTTACATTTCAGTCGAAGTACTGTGGAAGTTCGTACTGTTTCTGTGTTACTATCATCTACATCAACAATCTTTAATCTAGAGTGCAATACTAACTTTTTCGAGATATTTGCAAAACTCCGGACCGCAGGTGTCTGCGATGGGGAACGAACACGCTATTGTTCTTTCCGGGGAATAACTCGTTCACCACCACACCATGCGGGTCCTTCGTTTCGCCCGTCTCTTAGCTAGTTCTATCGATCTGTACCGTCAGCAATTAGGCGTAAGCTTAACTGGGTTCAATGCCGATGTGAGCTCCCCAGATTAATCCCGTTGACGGATGATTGCTGACGGTACTGATCGATAGAACTAGCTGAGAGTCAGGCGAAACGAAGGACCTACATGGTGTGGTGGTGAACGCGTTACTCCGCGGAAAGGTGAATAGCGGGTTCGTTCCCTAGCGCAGACACTTGCGGTCCGGAGTTTTCCAAATATCTCAGCAATCTCGTTGTTGTATTTCGCTTACACCCTGCAATAAAACTATAGAAGGCAGAAAATAAAAAGTAAACATTACTTTTTTTATTTACTGCCTATTACAATTTTTCACAGCAGGGTACACATCTGTGACACAACCACAATGTTGCTGAGATGTTTGCAAAGTTGCGGACCGCAGGTGCCTGTGGTGAGGAACGATCGCACTATTACCCTTTCCGGGGGCTAACTCGTTCGCCATCGCACCATGCGGGTCTTTCGATTCGCGTGTCTCTTAGCAAGTTTTTTATCTAGACTACAATCATCTTTAAAAACTAAAGAATCTGGCTGCAACGAAGTGTCTATCATTCAGTGCCTTCAACTAAATTAAGCAGTGGATTGGTTTCCTCAAAGTAACCATACGAATGATGTTACAGTTTCCTCAAACTGTCATACTTAACTGAGTGAATAGCATCTTGTGTAGTTACGTTTTCACCTAGATTCTTCTGGATTAAGTCAAAAGACCAAATTATCGATATGACTACATCATAGAAATGCAAAATGAGAGAAGGCAAGTTGTTATAGGAATGAAGCTCTGAGTGTAAGCAGACTAGCGTATTCTGATTGATAAGTTAGGCCATACGTTGTAAATAAAGCAAAAATTTGAAAAAGAGAGATGTAGACGATTTTCCTTCCTTAAGGAAACAACTGTTTAAACCTCAACACCGCAATCATCTCTAAAGGTCTCATCTCTGGATAGACTTCCTCTAGTAGCATCTTACAAAATTTCAGGTGTTTCTTCTTTCGATCTTCGTTTTCGTGTTGAGTAACGTGCTCATGTGGTGGTCATACACAAAATCCTTGTCACTGGTGGATTCTACGATACAATGTCTTGCAGTAAACACTGGAACAAACTTTACACTCACGGTTAGATTGAATTTTTCCTGTTAGAGTTTGACTACTATTTAAACCCTTGATTACTGTAATAGCCCGTCTTCACATTAAACCTCACGTTAGCTTATTAGTGGAAAAACACAGTTTTGAGCAACTTTTCCTTTCATAAACTCAAAACAGTTGTGCAGAAACGCTTCGTGGCTTTTGCCACACATAGTCATCGCAGATCCTTAAAGGAGTTTTGTTTCTTGCGACTAGAACTCTTTCAGAATGAGGACGCTCCTTGGCATAAATTCGCTTTTAGATAGGTTTCCGACTGGCGATGTCAAACCCCTCATCATGAGTGACGTTGCTAGGGAACGCCCCATGGTATCCGTCACATTTCAGTATTTAGGGGGACCTGTTTCTACGTTAAAGCAGTGAACTATTGAAAGTGGCAGATTTAAGATATCTGTAGACGTATAAAATACCACTACACAACAGACAACCTTCATTAAAATGGGTAGGTTTTCCCTACATCATCGGACGCAGAGTGACGCAAATTTTATCACTGGAGCTCGTTTTCTTGATGTTGATCAGTTCGACCTATCATTATTGATAGAGCACTATCGTGTTCTAAACTAGAAAGCATCTGTGTTGAAAACATCTCTTTGTTTAAGCTCGTAGCCATCTTGCGAGCCCAATGGCTATGGTGAAACGAGACACGCTCTAAACGTCCATTGAAGCTTGGTGGTCATGACCATAGTTTATAGTTATATACCTACCCTATGTTATATCACTGCTACCCGTGCTTTGGCTTCCATTAATCTGCTTAATTTGAGGATTTTTCAACAACTTGCTTGGCATTGGTGCGGAAGTATTTTCTGAGAATTGCAACGGTTAAAGAAATATTTACGGACCTCCAAAACTATTCAGAACCTTGGCAAACAGGTGTGGAAGATGTATGTTTTAGAATCATTCTAGTCGCTTTCGAACTTATTTGCTGTTGTTCTACGAGATCACTGTCGCCTGTTCCCTAACGCGTGCGCTACAGAAGTCTCAGCTTTTTGTTGCTGCGTCCAGGAATTGTTCAGTGGATTCTGCTCGCTTCAGTGATGCAAATGACATATTTTTCTCCAGCAAGCCTTGTGAAGAAGTCGATCAATAGGTCTGTCGATTTCCTCGCATATGGTCCATCTTGTTGAATGAAGTTAAGAAATAGTTCCACCCATCGGTGTTCAATTAAACCCATCGCAAGTCTAGCCCGCGTGGAGTTTTCCGATCCTTGTCCATCGACGTAGGACACAACTTTCGTATTTTCCATTTTGCCACTTTCGTAGGTTACTAGTATACCTTTTTTTGGATTCTCCAGTAACACGATAAGCTAGGAGAAATCGTAGAGTCGAAAAACGATTTCTGTTTGCTGTTCACCACATTATCTATGGTAACCCCTTGCAAGCTGATATCCTCTCCTAGAGCTAATGTAGTGCGTTATGTTACTTACCTAGTTATAACTGGAAGACTCGGGAATATTCGTTCTTGTAACAGTCCCCAGGATCCACTTTCTGTTAACCACGGCATAGCAATATGAATGCGTCGTTTTGTTGTTTATCAATCCCGGGGTTGTTATACCGCGTACATTTACTCCCATAGAAAAACGCAATACAATGCGACAGTAGCTGACGTTTCGGCAGTATCGCCTTCTTCAGAGCCTGGAAGGGTATACTGATATACAATTTACTGGGCCAAGTGTTTCAATAGTACTTACAAAAAGACGAAAAACTATGGTAATTCCATGATCAACAACTTCTCGAAAAACCCACCGCTTTTCACGTGACTTCCAATGAGGAGGATAAGAACAGCTGATTACAGTCGCGTATGATTGGTGACTGCACCACTCCATATCAGAAATTGATGCGAACATACGGGATCAGGTCGCGTATGACCTTCGGGCATTCATCCCTGCTATCCATTGTAGGGTTTTTGGCATTTATACAAAAAGCCTCAAGAAGTTTCCGCGCTGGTGTTTTGGACTCCTGTGCTAGGATATTGATTTTTATTTCAAAAACGTCTCCGCTATGCTTTTGTATCCTATGAGTGCTTAGTGGGGTACTTTGTCTTAGTTTTCGTTTGCCATCTAGGTGTTCTT